CCCCCTCCCCTCCCCTCCCCTCCCCTCCCCTCCCCTCTCCTCCCCTCCCTCCCCTCCCTCCCTCCCTCCCTCCGTCCTTCCCTTCCTTCCTTCCTTCCTTTCTCTCTCTCTCTTCTTTCTTTTTTCTTTTTCCTTCCTTCCTTCCTTCCTTCCTTCCTTCCTTCCTTCCTTCCTTCCTTCCTCAGTTTCAGAGGTAGAATTTAGTGATTCATCAGTTGCATAAAACATCCGGTGCTCATTACATCAGGTGCCTTCCTTAATGCGCATCATCTAGTGATCCCTTCCCCTCACCCACGTCCCCTCCAGCAACCCTCAGTTTGCTTCCTAGAGTTCAGTGCCTCTTATGATTTGCCTCCCTCTCAATTTTCATCTTATTTTATTTTTCCTTCCCTTCCCCTATGTTCATTTGTTTTGTTTCTTAAATTCCACATAGGAGTGAAATCGTATGGTATTTGTCTTTCTCTGACTGACTTATTTTGCTTAGCATAATACTGTCTAGTTCCACTTACGTCATTGCAACTGGCAAGATTTCATTCTTTTTGATGGCTGAGTAATATTCCATTGTATATGTACACCACGTCTTCTTTATCCATTCATTTGTTGTTGGACATCTGGCCTCTTTCCGTAGTTTGGCTGTCGTGGACATTGCTCCTATAAACATTGGGGTGCATGTGCCCCTTCTGATCACTATGTTTGTATCCTTTGGGTAAATACCTAGTAGTGCAATTGCTGGGTCATAGGGTAGCTCTAGAGTGGCTGCACCAGTTTGCATTCCCACCAACAGCGTAAGAGGGTCCCCCCCTTTTTTAAAGATTTTATTTGAGGGAGAGTGAGTCAGAGAGAGAGAGCATGGGGGGGGAGGGCCAAGGTGAGAAGCAGACTCCCCACTGAGCGGGGAGCCCGATGCGGGGCTTGATCCCAGGACTCCGGGATCATGACCTGAGCCAAAGGCAGATACTTAACCGACTGAGCCACCCAGGCGCCCCAGGGTTCCCCTTTCTAACCATGGTACATTTTCATGTTGAGCCCAGATGTAGCCTCAGAATTCCTGTTAGTAATGTTCCAGGAAGTCACTATCATTTAGTCCAATGTGACCTGATATAAAACTTGTTTGTTAATCCCTGGTGTAAGGATTTAGATCACAAGATAAAAATTATGTGGAAAACAATACATGAGTTAGAAATAGCTTTGAATTGGTTGTCATTCACACTGCTGGAGTTTATCAATAATAGTAAGGGCTAAGGAGAACCCCTAATAGAGCTGGCATAGGGGTACGGTGCTTATTCTTCTCGTGAAATACTGAATTGACAATTAATCTCTATTCTTTTTTTTAAATCTCTACCCTTTTGTGCCAAGATTCTACACTGTTTGCTGAACTTGGCTATTTCACAGACACTGATGATCTGCAATTGGATGCAGCAAAGGAAACTTATGTAAGTATTTACTAGGGGAGAATTACTGAATAATGTGATATTTAATCTTCTATTTATTGCAAGATGGTTTCAGGATAACAGGTTTAGGCTAGTGATTTCAGTTTAAATAATTTTTAGTATTAAGTGTGAAAGTTAGCAGCCATTTTTTACTCAGTAAATTTAGGATTGTAGAAACTGCATTGGTCTTGGCGGGAGAAGACTTGTATTCTAAGTTTACCTTTGACCAAGAGTTGGGTGACTTTGGAAAAGTCACTTAATTGCCTACTTTTTGGCTTTTATAGATACTTTGCTGCATAAGGGAAATGATGATGTTAAAGGGTATATGTGAGTCATGGATCCAGTCAAGCAGAACTTACTAACTTCCTTTTTAAAAGTTACGTATCCTTAGTATAGAAAGCTCTGAAACTTAGACATGTCCTTACTTTTTGCCTGTGAATGGTTAGAAGTCTGTGTATAAGCTATTATTATAGCACTTTGAGGCCTCAGAAATATCTTTTTCTTTTTTGTTTTAGTACATAGTACATTGGCCTATAGAACTCTTTTATTTTGTCTTACTCTTTAATGGATGAGGTGCTGTTTCACTTGGGGAGTAATTCAAGCGAACAGTGATTTTATATGTACATCAATCAGATTGGATATTTGTTACTTACTTTTTAAGCCTTTATTAACCTGCGTACAAAAATATGTAATGCTTGCTTAGTGAGTTTCTCAGACATTTCTCAAAGAAGAATTTGGCAGTTGTTTTCCTATCCATCAATAGAAGAGAGTAAGAATACATGATATACTTTTTTATTTTATTTTATTTTTTTTAAAGATTTTATTTATTTATTTGACAGAGACAGAGACAGTGAGAGCAGTAACACAAGCCAGGGGGAGGGGGAGAGGGAGCAGCAGGCTCCCCACTGAGCAGGAAGCCCGATGGGGGGCTTGATCCCAGGACTCTGCGGTCATGACCTGAGCTGAAGGCGGACGCTTAACGACTGAGCCACCCAGGCGCCCCATGATATACTTTTTTAATCAGTACATGAAATTTTAATAGTTTTTGTTTACCTTATGAGATGTTTGAGAATGCGATCTAGTGATTAAATTGGCTTTTTTTAAAGATTTTATTTATTAGAGAGAGAGAGAGAGAGCAAGAGAGAGCACGAGTGGGGAGGAGAGGGAGAAGCAGGCTCCCTGCTGAGCAGGGAGCCCAGTGTGGGGCTTGATCCTAGGACCCCGGGATCATGACCAGAGCCAAAGGCGGTCGCTTAACTGACTGAGCCACCCAGATGCCCCAGATTAGCTTTAAATATTGGGAGGTTGCCTAAGCAACTGACATTCATTTACAACCTCTGTGGCTTAAACTACCAAGTTACCATACTGTAGTTAGTTTGAAAGGTTCAGGGAAATATGATCCTCATTTTATAACTAACATTCTTATCTTACACAAGGCATTCAGTCTTTCAGTTCCTTAGTTTTTCTAGTATAAAGTTAAGGGATTGGACTAGATGGTGTCTGAGGGCCCTTGCTAGCTTTAAAATTGTGTCATTCTCTTCCACACGTTAGTAGTTTCCCATGAGAAGTCGTAGAAGAGCCAGAATATAGAAGCACAGATATGTTCACTTTACATAAAACGGGCCTGTTAAGTTCCGTACAGATAAAATTCTTATGCTGTAAAAGGTCTTTGTCCGTTTTGGCTGAATACTGAGTAAGAAGCATCCTGGAGTAGGTCATGTCCACTGTTGTGCATGTTAAAAAGTATTGCTAGCACTCAAGCAGGCTTCATTGTTTAGCTTACTTAGGCTAGGAAAGTTGAAGGATATTTTTGGTTGCTGAAGGTACAAGGCTGCTTAATTTCTTGATGTGTAGATTCAAGTAAGAGAAAAAAGCAAAGGGGGTTGACTTAAAAAGGGGTTCTTTCATGGTTTCAGTAGTATTTTTTTTTCTCACGTGAATGTCCACACATTCTCTTTCTCTAACTTGCACCAATATTTACTTGGTTAAGGGCAGTGAGATCAAACTCTTTCCTTCTTTCCTTTTGTTCTCAATAAAAATAAACCACAAAAGAGACATTTTGAAATAATACTTTAGAAGTTATTACCAAATGGTTGTTAATAATTAAGAGACCAATCTTTACTTTTGGCCTGAGGCTTATTTTCTCTACTGTTGCTGTTTTATTATCTGTCATATTAAGTTAATACTGACTGCCTTTGTGGTACTATGTGTATATTGTATACATCTGTTCTTGTCTCCATAACCCTGGACACTTAAGATAATAGGACTATCTTGATCTCAAACTCACGTGTGGCTGTACTTTGTTTATGTATATAGTATAAGATGACTATTCAGATGACCCAGAATATGCTTATATTTAAGTAAAAAAAATTGTCATCTAATTGAAGAAACTAAGAGTTCCTCTAAGAAGTGTGTTGACTTATGTTTGAGAAACTTAGTTTTATCTTCTAGTTTTAAAAAAAATTAGAAATTTTATTTTAGAAATTTGAAAACTTGTACAGTACAGTATAGTAGAAAAAGAAGAAAATTACCCATCCTTCTATGGATCTCCTCTTTCTTAGATAACCATTTTAATATTTGGTACAATAGTTTCAATTCTTGCATATCTTTTGGCTAAAATCTATATTCTTTCCATTGCTATATAGAGATGATGTTTTAAGTGGGCATTTGCTTTGACTTGTTTTCATTAATGGCAATGGGAAAATTTACTTCGCTGGATCTCCCTTATGACAAAAGACATGTTTTGTGACATGTAAAGGTGGATTCCCATAGAAAAGAATGACACTAACTGAATCTTTTAGATGTTGAATCCATTACCTCCCTAATTGTTCCTGCTGTGTTTCAGATAACTGAATTGGTTTATCTTTAGGCCATGCAAGATGTATTCTCAAGATGAACTGATTGACTTAGAAAATTATTTTAACTAAGTTGGGTAATAGCAATTATATTATTTATGGCAAATTATGTCTGATAGTTTGATTTCTAGATCTGTATGTTTTATTCTCCTAATATCCTTTTGCTGATTTGAAACCTACAGGAACACAATTTTGATAATCTTGATTTTGACTTGGATTTGATGCCTTGGGAAACAGGCATTTGGGACATCAACAACCAGCTCTGTACAGGTAATGATGTATTTCATTGGTAAAAATTTTAAACAGATCCATTTTATTTTGTAGTTTGGTAATCATCAAAATTAGGTGGGGTTATTGGGCTACTTTGATGGGTTAAAAAATTCCAGGGATAGATACTCTACTTTTGATGTGGTAGTGCACACATAAGTTTCTTGCCCAGGTGGATATAAAGAATTTTATAGTTATGTTTTAGTCACATATTGATAAAGAATTCATAACAGAAATCCTGATTTTGAGTTCTGTATATCTTTATAAGAGGTTAACCTGAGAACCAGGCAGAACTTAGGGAATCAAAGAAAGCGTGGGGTTATCAGAACTTAGGAAGTTGGTGTAGGGCTCCCTTGCATTTGATATAGATATTTCTCTGGAGGGGGCACCACCTGGCTGATGCTAGTATCTTTAAGGGGCCCTGATGAAGTAGGTTTTGGATGTGCTGAGAGAAGTTGGGCCCTGGAGCCAACTGTCACTTGTGGGATGAAGCTGATGGGAGGAAGAAACCCCTTTGTCCCCTGTCTTCACTTCAGCATCTTTCCAGTATCCCCCACTGATAGGACCTAAAAGGGAGCCAGCTGGGACATGTCTTAATAATGTGCATCACAGACTATATATAGGAGGTAGACTTAAGAACTGAAGACAGTGGTAAGTCACCAGCATATCCTCCCACCCAAATTGCGGTCCTCCCCACCCCTGCATGTCCCAGTCCCCCATTTTATGTAATTATGCGTCTTGCTTCATGCCTGTCTTCCCTCATAGAATATGGGCTACCCAAGGCCAGTGTTCTGGTTACTATTGTCATGTAACAGACTACTCTAAAACTCAGTGGCTTAAAACAACAACCATTTTATTATGCTCCCAGAATCTGTGAGTCAGGAATTTGGGCAGGGTACACCAAAGAATGGCTTATCCCTGTTTTGTGATGTCCAGACCTCAACTGGGAAGATGGTAAGGCTGGAGGAGCTTGAAAGTTGGGGGCTAGCATTACCTTAAGATTTCTTCACTCACCTATCTCTTGCCCGGCCTGAGTGGCTTGATGGCTAGGACTGTCGGCTAGAGCACCAACACATGGCCTTTCTGTGTGGCTTGGCTTCCTTCCAGCTTGGTGGTCTCATGGTAGTCAGACTTCAGAGGCTCAGGTGTGAGTGTTCCAGCGCACAGAGTGGAGACTACATTACCTAATGTAACCCAGCCTTGGAATTCCTGTAGCATTACTTCCATACTGTGTTGATTGAAGGAGTCTTAAGCCCACCTTGATTCAAACAGAGGGGAAATAGATGCTACTTCTTGATGGGGAAGGGTAAGATCACATTATAGATTATGAGGGATGGTGGATATTTTGCAGCTAATTTGGGAAAACGTTGCCTGGGCTGTAGTTGCTCAATAAATTTTTATAAATGAAGTTTAGCAAAAGATATGAACATTTTTGTGAGTTTTAATGGTATTGTAAAAAATGTTTTCCAAAATAATTATTTCTGATTTCTTATGTTTTTAAAAGTTATTTTTGGAGGGATCTATAATTTTTTGCATATGGTATAATATTAAAAAAGTACAAAAAGTCTATAGGGTAGAAAAATGTCTCCTTCAGCTGTTGGTCCTCAGCCAACACATTCTCCCCAGAGACAACCACAGTTACCAATTTGTTATGTTTATCCTTCCAGAGAATTAGCGCAGATGGGAGTAGATATATACATAGACACATGTATAATTTATTGCACAAATGGTAGCATACTAGATACACTGTTTTCTGCATCTTGAATTTTCATTTGATGATGCATTTTGGTGACCTTAGCTTCAATATGATTGAATTTTAAGAGTAGATTTTACCCTCTTTCTTATTTTATTTTGAGATTATAGTGTCCAGTGGGAAAATTTTTACTCCATGTTTTTCAGTTAAAGATGTTAAGGCAGAACCTCAGCCACTTTCTCCAGCCTCCTCAAGTTGTTCAGTCTCCTCTCCTCAGTCAATGGACTCTTACTCTTCAACTCAGCATGTTCCTGTAAGTAGCCAGTCTCCTACCATGATTTTGGTCATAATGCTATCTGGGAAATATGCATATGGAGGATGCACTTATCATTTATGAAATGCTAATGTGAGCCCTACGATCTCATTTAATCCCGAGGAACCTGAGTTTCCAGGAAGGGCCTTGGGAGAGCTAGCAAGTTCTTCGTCTCTGGTTTTGCCCTCCTTTCCCAGTGTTCCTGCCTTCATGATTTCATTGTTTCAGTGGTTTCTTCGCACTTTACCAGTAACCAGTATTTTTTGTTTATTGGCTTACTGTCTTTTCTCCCTGCTGTCCTCTCTCCTGCCTGTCAGAATATACATTCTTTTTTTTTTTTTTAATTTTTTATTATTAGAATATACATTCTTTGAGGACAGGGAAGACTCTAAGATGGTTTGATTTGTAACTCCTGGGCCATAGAACCTAGAATGGATTCCTTAATTCACGAAGGCTAAGTACTACCTTTGAATGGGCTAAGGTTTTTATAAAAATCTGGTAACTTCTTAAAAATGCTTCTCTTCTCCATCCAGACAAAAGCTCTGAGCGTGGGAAAAGGAAATACTAAAGTATTGAGGTACTTTTTTGAATGGGGGAAGGGAAAATTTAAGGAGAAAAATTCAAATTAATATTTCAGTACATTATATCTGCTGTAAATTGAGATATCTTCATTCTGGCCGACTCAGCATCTAGTCAGCTCTGAAATCCGGACAGTTCAATTCAGTTAATGTCTCTATGATTCATCTTCTTTGCCCCTGCCAGGCCATCATCATCTCTCTGGGATTAAGTCAATAGGATTTTAACTGGCCTCTCTGCCTCCTGACTCCTCCAACTTTTCTTAGCAGAGGAATCTTCAAAGAGAAATCTTTCAGAATTATAAATTTGATCGTGTCAGTCTTTTGCTTAAACCTTATAATGACTTCTCAGGATGAAATTCAAGATGAAACTCAAACTCCCGGAGTACTAGGCCCTTCACGACCCGGCTCCTGCTTATCTTCTGGCGCATTCTCCCTTGCTACCTTCACTCTCCCCTTGTAACCCTGTGGGATCCCACCTCAGAGCTCCCACACTCCGTACTCACTCAGCAGCTATGCCAGGCTCTGGTCAAAGCCTGGTAGTGAATGAGAGCAGCGAGAGCTCTGCTTTCACACTTGTAGATTTTTGTACATGCTCTTCTGCCTCGAATAGCCCTGTTTTTTTTTCTTCCCTTGTAAAACTCCTATTCATCCTGTTGTAGTCCCAGTTCAAAAACAACTTCCTTTCTGAAGTTTTTCTCTGATTGCTACCATTGGAGGTTCTTTGTGGTCCCACAATTTCTCCAAATGATTTAATTAAAACATTTTTTTTAAATCCCCCTTTAAAAAATTAAAAAAAAAATGTGTGTGTGTGTGTGAGAGAGAGAGAGCTGGGGAGGAGCAGAGGGAGATGCAGACTCCCCGCTGAGCGGGGAGCCTGATGTGGGACTCGATCCTGGGACCCTGGGATCACGACCTGAGCTGAAGGCAAGACACTTGACCGACTGAGCCACCCAAAAGTGTATAACAAGGTATATTTACAGAAGCCTGATTTCTATCCTTCCTTCCCATCCATCCTCACACGAAAGGTAGCGTACTCTATACCTTGTTCGGCACTTCGCTTGTTTCACTTAGTGGTGTATCTTGGAGGTAAGTCCAGTTTCAGGATATAGGGTCTTTCTCATTCCTTTTTATGGCTGCATGCTGTTCCGTGATAGATCCATTGTGTGGTTATATCATGCTTTCTTCAGTGATTCGTGTTCTCAGTCCTTTCCAGTTTCAAATAATGCTGTAGTGAATAACGTGTCACACAAGTCACGTCATATTTTTGCCAGGATGTCTTCGGGATGTAATCCTCGTCGTGAGATTGTGGAGATCAAGGTGAATACATTTGTAATGTGTGGACTATAGCCAGGTTCCCCCCGTAGGGTTGTGCAGTGCTGTGGTCTGATCGGCAGTGTGTGAGGGGCTGGTATTCACACTGTTGCTCCACACGTGCTTTGTTCTCTATTTGTTTTATTCTAAGTGTGGTTGAACATCTTTTCAAATATTTCATATGTATAAGGCCCTATTTGTGTTTCTTTTTAAATGAACTATCCATTCAAATTTTGGTTCACTTTTCTGTTGGATTATGTGGGTCTTTTTCTCCTCAAATTTTAGGTTGTTTTATTACATATTAGGATTATTAGCCCTCAGTTTGTGAAATAAGTTAAGTATTTTTTTCCCCAATTTGTCATTTGTCTTGATGCTTTGTGTCTGGTGTGTATTTTCTCCAGGCATACTTTTTTCCATAGCCAAATTACGGATCTTCTATGGCCTTTTTTTGGTCATTTAGAAGAGGGTTTTCACCACTCAGGTTATAGTATTTTTATTCTTGTTTATATCAACTTTTTGTTTGGAATAATCTCAGACTTAGAGAAATGTTACAAGGATATTTCAAATAACTTTTTTTTCCTGAACCATTGGAGAGTAAGTTGCCAACCTGATGTTTATCACCCCCAAATACTTCACTGTCTACTTTCTACAAGCAAGGATGTGCCCTCTGTAGCCACAATACAATCACTAAAATCAGGAAATAAACGTTGATACATTACCTTCATCTAGTCCTCAACTCCCACTTAGCTTAAGCCAGTTGTCTCAGAGATATCCCTTAGACTAGCAACAGAATCTAGTGTAGAATCCAGCATCGTATTTGGTTGGCTTGTCTTTTTCATTTCCTCCAGGTGAAATGATTTATTCTTCCTCAGCTTTCATGACCTTGTCACTGGTGGAGATTAAAGACTAGTTATTATGTAGAATGTTCCCTCAGTTGGGTTTGTCTGATGTTTCCTAGGGATTAGATTCAGGTTTTGTATCCATGGCAGGAATATCACCGAGGTGATGCCGTGTGTCTGTCTCATTTACTTTTGATGAGATGGCACACAATTTCAATTTGTCATTACTGATGAGGTTCACTTTGTTCACTTAGTTATGGTAATGTCTGCCAGGCTTTTCCACTGTGAAGTTGTTTTGTCTTTGCTATAAATAAGTATTTTGTGAGGCAGTACTTTACAATGATGTAAAAAAAAAAGTCCAGTTTCTCAGCAAAGCTTAAGTTTATCTGTTTATTTCTTTCTATCAGTATGGACTTACGGTTTCTTATTTTATTCAACAGGTTGTAATCCATTATTGTAATTATTCTGATTCTTACGTTGCCCTGGATTTGGCCAGTGCAACTCCCTTCACACAGACTTCTGTGTTCTTTTAATAAGTCTTCATTGGGCTTTTTGATAAATCAGGCTGACCCAGTTTTGATGCCCTTATCACCCTGTTCTGACTCCCAGTGCTGGAGTGTTCTCCCCATCCCCAAGTGAACACTCTCCCTACCTAACTCAGTTTGGGCTCTTACACTCTACCAGCTCGCCTCTCTGCATGGATGCTGGTCTTGCTCTGTCCCATCTAGTGGCTTTAGGGTCAAATTATTCAGCAAGGAATATTTTTGTTTGCTTGTTTGTTTATTCATTTGTTTTTTAGATAACCACAAGTGAGTGAACTCCTGTGGTCTTTGTCTTTCTCAGTCCGACTGATTTCACTTAGCCTAATGCCCTCTACGTCCGTCCATGAGCAAGAAATATTTTCTCAGTGACTGTTAATACATATTTTTATAAGGTTTTATTTTTATTTATTTTTAAAGATGTATTTATTAGCACACTCGAGGGGAAGGAGGGTGGGGCAAAGGGAGAGGGGGAGGGAGAGAATCTCAAGCAGACCCCCTTTTGAGCTTGGAGCCCAGTGCTCCTGACCTGAGTCAAAATCAAGAGTTGGATGCTCAACTAACTGAGCCACCCAGGTGCCCCATGAGGTTTTATTTTTAATTTAGATCTCTGATCCGTTTGAAATTTTCCTGGTGTACGATGTGAGACCAAATCTAAATTTATCTTTTCTCAAATGACTGTCAAAAGAATGGTTCCAGTACAAAAAGTTCATCTTGTTCTCAGTGACTTCAATTCTGTGTACTTAAAATAGTTTATGTAAATGATGTTACTGTGTTAGATCTCTTTGTATTTCTTTTAAAAATCAACACAATGTTTTTAAGATCAATTCATATTGTTCGGTATTGCATCTAACTGCACAACACTTCACAGGTATGTTCACTCTGTTTTACCTCCATCACAGTGAGCATTGACAAGAACGACCTTTTATGGGTCCATGTGAGTATCCCTTCGGGATGTACACCCAGGAGTGGAATTGCTGAGAGGTAGAGTGCAGGTACTTCATTTGACAGGTGCTGCCATCTTGCTCTCTGGACACCTGTGGTAGTCTGCAGTCCCAGCAAAAGTGCTGGAGGATCCTTGTAGCTTCTCTTCACCGCTAATGCTCAGCGTTGCCTGGCTTTCTAATTTTTGCCAGATGGTATAAATTTTTTATTGTTTGTTTTGTTTTAATTCGTATTTCTTTGATTACTGATTGTTTTCAACATTTCTTTACAAGGCCTTTTGGATTTGGGTATTTTTTCTTTTATAAATTGTTTATTCCTGTCTTTTGCCAGTTTTTCTATTGAGTTGTCTTTTTCTTACTCACTTGCAAGAATTCCTTCTATATTTGAGATAGTAACTTCGTTGGGTTTAAACCTTACATATATCTTTTTACTTTCTATTATCTATTAGCTTTGCAGTCTTTACTGAGTAGGAATTTCTAATTTTGAATACTCAGATTCATCTTTTTTTCCGTTTGCCTTTTTGGTTTATTGTTTGAAGTTTTTTTTAAAGAAGTCTTTCTCTGCTTGTAGGCCGCAAAGATATTTTCCAATATTTTTTTCTATTAACTACATGGCTTACCTTTCACATTTAGGTTTCTTAATACCTTTATTTATTATTTTTTAAAGATTTTATTTATTTATTTGAGAGACAGAGTGAGAGAGAGTGGGGTGAGGGGCAGAGGGAGAAGCAGACTCCCTGCTGAGTAGGGAGCCTGATGTGGGCCTCGATCCCAGGATGCCGGGATCATGACCTGAGCTGAAGGCAGAGGCTGGACTGACTGAGCCACCCTGGGGCCCCAAGCTTTCTTAATACCTTTTTTAAAAAAATTTAATTTAATTTTTAATTTTTTTTGAAGATTTTATTTATTTATTTGACACAGAGAACGAGAGAGAGCGAGAGAGAGAGCACAAGTCAGCAGAGAGGCAGACAGAGGGAGAGGGAGAAGCAGGCTCCCCTCTGAGCAGAGAGCCCAACATGGGGCTTGATCCCAGGACCCTGGGATCATGACCCGAGTTGAAGGCAGATGCTTAACTGACTGAGCCACCCAGGCGCCCCTTCTTAATACCTTTAGAGTCTACCTTACTATGTGGTGTTAGTTAGGGATCTAGTTTTAATTTTCTCTAAGTGAGCCAGTTTCCCCAGTTGTATCACCTTTATAATCATTCTGTTAAAGAATATCTTATGTCTCTCTGTTTAGTCAAGTTACCTTTTATGTAACTCAATTAAGTTTTGAAATTTTCTTTATATAGGTTCTGTACATTCCTTAGAAAATTAACTCCTAGGTATTTTATAACTGTTATAGCTCTTGTGGGTGAGATCTTTTTTATTATATTTTTAAGTGATTATTCATACAATATTTTCATAGTGAAATGTTTTTTAATTGGTTTTTATATGTGTTCCAAGTAGACAGCATGTCATCTTACAAAGGTACTTCTTCTGTCTCTTCTATTTTAATATTTATTCCTTTTATTTCATTTTCTAGTATAATTATGTTTGCTAGAATTATAGAAAAAGCAGTTACGTTTCTTATCCTGACTTAAATGGTACTGCATTAGTATTTCACCATTAAGTATGACATTGGCTATGCAATTATACATAGCTTTTTTTTTTTAATGTTAAGAAAGTATCCCTCTAATCCTTGTTTTCTAGGACTTTTGTAAAGAGTACTTGCTGAATGTTAAGAAATACCTTTTAAGCATCTAAGGCCATGAAGAGAATCATATCCTCCTATGTTGTTACCTTGTACTCTCTGGTTTATTCCAAATATCATCTGAAATACTCTGTAAGGTTCACAGAACGCAGCTTATGGCTACGTGCTGAGTAGGTGTTGAGGATGAATGAATGAAGCAGTTGTCATTGTTACCAGCATGACTGGGAGTGACCATATTCTCTCTAGGTCATTTTGATTTTTTTTTCTTATCTGATCCCCCCACAAAAAATTTGCCTTTGTGGGGCACCTGGGTGGCTCAGTCAGTTAAGCGTTTGCCTTCAGCTCAGGTCATGATCTCAGGGTCCTGGTATTGAGCTCTGCATCCACATCCAGCTTCCTACTCAGTGGGGAGTCTGCTTCTCACTCTCTCTGCCCCTCCCCTAGCTCATGCTCTCTCAAATAAAATCTTTAATTTTCCTCTCAGAATAGAAGTGCTACTTTTATCCTATGTTAAGTTTCCTTATGGCAACAAAATGAGACAGATCCACTGAATGCTAAAAGACTTGGAAAATGTTATCTTTATACATCTCTGTATTAATAAGTCACCCATTAAAAAAAAGAAAATAGCCTTGTTCCTTTCAGTGTTTATCTTTCTTTCAAAACATTTGGGACAAAGGCAGCATTAATAAATGAAAAAGAATAGTAAGAATTATTTGTTTTGAGTTTCTTATAAGACTACTGAATAAGAGATTGGGGGAAAGGATATTGGGCATTTTAACCATAGTCTTATACCAAATGTTTGTATGGCTAGGAACCAAGTAAATACCAAGTGTGCGGGAGGAAATGTAGGAACAGATCAGTGATTCCCATCTTTAATACAAGAGGATGACATAAATGTCCTCTGCAATTTGAATTATTTTTCCTCTTGTATCGATGGATAATGTTACTTTCTTTATCCATAGTCTCTTAGTACTTAGTACCTAAAGTTTCTAATATATCATACCTTTGCCTTGAAGTTGTCCTAGAATGTTCGTTTATGTATGGATTTTGCCTCTCTAAGCCATTTTCTGTTCAAGAATTATATTCTTCTCCGTGAATTTGTTTGTATTTTATTTTGCTACAGGAGGAGTTGGATTTGTCGTCTGCTTCCCAGATGTCTCCCCTTTCCTTATATGGTGAAAGCTCTCATAGTCCCTCCTCAGCAGAGGCACTGAAAGAAGATAAACCCATCATTGGTCCTAGGAGCAAAACTGGTATGACTCCCATCTCCTAACTTCTGTTCTTTCTAAGTTGGACTGAACTTAGGTTCCATTTTTAAAAAGAAAATGTTGGATTAAGTGCATGTTTATTAAGCTGGCTTTTTGTTTTTAAAATAGAGGACCTGTCTTCCTTGGTTGTCTTGTCTTTACAGGTGAAAAATGCTTCAAAGTAGATGTAGGCCTCATCATCTTCAGGAGAGAATTCAAAGATTCAGTTAAAAATACTGAATGTGAGGGACATTTGGGTGTGACATTTATTACCTCTTAATCTTCAGGCCTTATTTAGTGATTTTTAGCTATTCTCCTTTACCAGTTCATATATCCCCTTCCCAAAGCTGCAGTGTGGTCATTCCAGTGAAAACCATCATTTTTTTTTTTTTAAAGATTTTATTTATTTATTTGACAGAGAGAAACATAGCGAGAGAGGGAACACAAGCAGGGGCAGAAGGAGAGGGAGAAGCAGGCTCCCCGCTGAGCAGGGAGCCCGATGCGGGACTCGATCCCAGGACCCTGGGATCACGACCTGAGCCGAAGGCAGACGCTTAACGACTGAGCCACCCAGGCGCCCCGAAAACCATCATTTTGACCATCAGTGTGGTCAGAAAGGAAGATCTCATTTGACTTCTAAAATAAGTCCTGGGGGTGTCGTGTACAGCGTTAGTAATACTGTGTTGTATATTTGAAAGTTGCTAAGAGAGTAGATCTTCTAAGTTTCATCACAAGGAAAAAAACTTGTAACTGTGTGTGGTAGCAGATGTTAACTAGACTTCTTGTGGTAGTCCTTTTGTGGAACAAATATCAAATCATGTTGTACCCCTGAAATCAATAAAATGTTATATGTCAATTATACCTCAAAAAAGGGGGGTAGACCTCAGATTAAGGACTTTTTTTAGTCCATTAAGTATAGATAGCTATGCTTAAACTCCAGGTAAGGATAGTTACTCAGAGGTCAAGGTAATGTGTAGAAAAAGGTGTATAATAGAACCTATTTTCTAGGGATTGCTTTCACATTGATTTGTGGTTTGTTTGGATTTTCTCCAGAAAATGGACTGACTCCAAAGAAAAAAATTCAGATGAATTCAAAACCTTCAATTCAGCCCAAGCCATTATTACTTCCAGCAGCACCCAAGACTCAGACAAATTCTGGCGTTCCAGCGAAAACCATCATTATCCAGACACTACCCACACTTATGCCATTGGCAAAGCAGCAGCCAATTATCAGCATACATCCTGCACCCACTAAAGGTACCTGAGTGGCACTTGAGGCTGCGTATGTTTAATTGATGGGTACTAAGGCTTGCCTCATGTCATTTGTTTTAGCTCAGGTTATAATTTCTGAGCACATGCTGTGTGCCAGGAATTGTCCTTGGTTTTGAGGATGTCGCAGAGATGACTAACATGTGGTTCCTGTCCTAACAAGGTAGATGGCTATCCAGATTAATTATATCTGATACTTCTTTTTTCTTACAGTTTTAATTATGAAAACTGTCAGGCTTGTGGTTTTATATAACCACTTGTAATGAAGAAGAAAATCCAGGAAACTTTCTTGGTACCATTCTGTCCTGAGATTTTTGTGTCCATGAACTCTTGTGTTTTTTTTTGTTTTTTGTTTTTTTTCATGAACTCTTGTTTTTAAGGAGAAGTCAGTATGTAAATAACATCACGGGTCTAATAGGTGAGTTTTGGCAATAGGATCAGGCTCTTCCTCTCTGCAGAGGCAGCATGCTTTAGTAAACATGATCTTGAGTGAGGGCATTAGGAAGAGATCTCAACTCTTGTCTTCACATAGTTAAGAATGTGTGTGTTTCTATATTTTATCCACCAGGTGGCCTCATATACTTGATTCTGCACGAATTGTAGTATTGAAAGAACGTGTTTGAGGATTTGGTAGTGTGCAGATACAGGAATCATTTGCACATGAAGATGTCTTAGGCAGGTTATCTGTCATTCTCATACTGATACGTGTACACAGGAGTAAAGGAAAACCTGTTTAACGTTCTTTCCCTGGATTTATAAAGGACTAGGTCTCAATGGTCTATGGATTGTAAACAAATGTTTCTTTTATGGCTATGTTTCCAGCTCTAGATTGTTAATTCATTTCTTTGGATCAAGAAGATCAAGTTTTAATGAGAGCAAGGTCATAAATTTGATCTCTAGTTACTCTGTTAGTTTTGTTTTATTCCACGGTCACGGACAATATGACATTGATAAAGAGAAGAGCTAGGTGGGAGACTGGACAATTCAGTGAAAATCCATCAAAGTCTACCAAAACCCTAGACCTGAAATACCTGCCCTTTCAGTACAGGGTCAGAACTGCTGCCTTTTTCATGTGAAAAATAGCAGTCCTGTAGAAGGGGTATTCTTGTGGTCTGTGAATGGATGTTAAGTGTTCATGAACTTGAAATAAAATGTAAGATTTATTGTATATGTGGATTTTTCTAAGGTGAGTCTCCAAAACTTTCATCAGGATCTCAACGGGGTCTATGTCTTCCCAAAAGTTAAGAATTTAAACTTGTGAAGAACCTCATTTTGGTTCCCATAAGCTCTTAAAACACAAGTATAAAAAGCAGAAGCCAGACATTAATATGACTAGTGTGTGAGGCAAGGGGTATTCCTAAGAATTTGCTCTTAGCAGACCATGTTCAATTGATAGAAGACAAACCATTCTTTTCTGAGCAGTTTATCAGGTTCAGAAACCTGAATCATACATTATTCAGAATGTCAGTGCCTGCCCATTATCTGAATATAGTATTTATGTTTGCTAATATAAGGCACTTGTGTGTTTTTATAGTACAGTCCAGAGGGTTGGTGTTGTTGTAACATACAGATTTAAGTGTATGTCTTCCATTTATTTGAAATAAAGAGGTAGAGGGGAAATATAGGAGAGGCATTTTATAATTAATGTGAGTATCAATAGTAAATATTTTATCATTAAAGAAGTAATTTTTACAGGATTAAGTTCAAATTCTCTAATTTGGAAGTAAAGCCCACCGTGGTTTGGCTCCAGTTTAGTTTCTAACTTTACATTATAATCACTCCTTTTTATAATCCCAACTTCCTCTTCTAGCCCAACCAGTCTGACCACTGTCCCTTGAATTCTCTCCTTTTTCCTAGTTTCTTGGCTCAGACCATTCTGTCTGCCTGAAACAACTTCTGTAACTAAGTCCTATATATCTATTAAGACTGTTAGGAGGAGTGCAGGTGAGAGATGATGAAAGCCTGGTATGTCTGTGAAAATGGAGAGCCAGGATAGAGGGTGCAGAGGTTAAAGCATGCAGAACCTCGGGCTTGGCTCTTGGATGGTTTGGAAGGGGGATGAAGGATGGAGAGGGACGCATCCTGCGTCTTGGGCTTGTTGAGTAGATGATAGTGCAAAATCGTTGAAATGGAGGGTAGAGATAACATAACTTACCCAGGTCATTCTGCTCCTGAGAAGTAGAGGCAGAACTGGAGCCCACGTGGGCTGGCTCAGAATCTGTTTAATTAGTCATGATACTAGATTGCCTCTAAAGGAATGGGGAGCTGTGCTCCTTGATCTCCAGAATTCTGTCTAATTGGGGAGTTAACATATTTACATAAATAACAGTGACTATGAGAACTAATGAATTAATAATATATGCAGTGCCCTTATGGAAGCTGTTATTATATAGAAATGGAAATTAATAATAATATATAAAAGCTAACATTAAAGTTCTTACTGTGTGGTAGACACTGTTGTGTTTAAGTGCATTATCTTAATCGTTACATCGGCTCTGTGAAGATGGGTACTATTACTGTCTTCATTTTATAGATGAGAAAATTAAGACAGAAGAATCATTTACCCCAAGTCACATAGCTATATTATTTTAGACAAAGTAGGCATTCAATAAATGTTTGATACATAGTTTGAAATCTTTGAAGAAAATTGAAAAGGAAAAATACCTGTCACAATCGGTGAGTCATACATAGAAGTATTTAGCATTGAATCTAGCCATGTTCTGGTGGTTCCCTTAAGGGAGATTTGTATGTAATGTCAAGGAGGATTTTGAGCATGCTGAAATGGATAAACAGTCTTATGGTTGTCCTTTTTGACTGTCTTCACACTAGGGACAGTAGTTACTATGTTCAGCTACTAACTACTTAAGGCCCAAAACAGTCCTTTGCATTGCATTCTATGATCCATGTGCATCTAGCAGGTCATTGTTTAGCAAGTCACCATGAGAGTTTTTCGTTTTCTTAAACATGTTGTAATAGAAGTTTCTCCCCATTCTGTCTTGAACCCAAGCATGCCTAGAATATTTAGAGGATCCTTGATTTGGATGCTAGGTAATTTGAGGATAGTTGGGCACCATAGGATGTTCATTATAGAAAACGGGAGGCAGCAGTGGCCTGGTAGGACTGGGAGCCGCATTAGGAACACAGACCCTCCCTCTGTGTTGCCCCCTCTCCTTTACTCCATGAGGCAGTTCTCTCAGCAAGGAAATGGTGGTAACTAGGCAATGGACGGTACAGACTTGGGTTCTTTTTCTAAATTAGTTTTAAGAAATACCACAAAGCCATTCGCATGTGTTAACTGCAGCTAGAAGTATGATCCTTTCTTTGAAATGTTTAATTCTTTACATTTACCACCTCCTCTGCTCTTTGGAATAATCCCAAAGTTCACCGAACAGTGTTTTGTTCTGGGATCTTTTTATTATAATTTTTTTTTAAGTCATACTTTTTTTTTTTTTAAAGATTGACAGAGAGAGTCACAGCGAGAGAGGGAACACAAGTGGAGGAGTGGCAGAGGGAGAAGCAGGCTTCCCGCAGAGCAGGGAGCCTGATGCGGGGCTCGATCCCAGGACCCCGGGATCATGACCTGAGCCGAAGGCAGATGCTTAACGACTGAGCCACCCAGGCGCCCCTTTATTGTAATTTTTAAACTGAGGAGATGTGGAGCACTGCTTGCAATAATGGTCTTCTCAAAGTATTGGTTTAACTCAATGGTTTCCACCCTACAGACGTGGACCCCAGGGTATGGGTGGTGGGAGTAGTAGCCTTTGGCATATTTTGCAAGGCATCTGCAAACCCGTATATCTGGCAGGTATTTTCTGTAGACTGAATAGTTTGTTTTATACTCCTGTTTTTCAAATTTTTGTGGCTATAGTTCGGATTAATAAACTATGAATTTATTTTAAATTGTTACTAAGTTTTGTTGTTGTTTTAAGTAGGCTTCATGCCTGGCGTGGAGCCCAGCATGGGGCTTGAACTCATGACTCTGAGATCAAGAGTCGGGTGCCCAACTGACTGAGCCACCCAGGTGCCCCTATTACTAAGTTCTAAATAGCCTTTTCTCATTATGTATTTTATCAATCCTGCAACTGAAAGGACAGCCATGATCATCTTGGGTGACCATGATACTTTTTGATATTAAAGAAAAGTAATTCTATTCAGGGTGCGAGCACTTGGTTTAAGTTTTACATAATAAGGAATATGTCTTCTCATAGTACTAGATTGTACTTTCTTTTTTTTTTTTTTTTAAGATTTTATTTGAGAGAGAGAGAGTGTGTGCGTGTGTGTACAAGCGAGCAGGGTGAGGAGCAGAGCATGGGAGAATCTCAAGCAGACTCCCTGCTGAGCTCGGTGCCCTACATGGGTCTCAGTCTCATGACCCTGAGATCATGACCTGAGCCAAAACCAAGAGTTGGATGCTTAATCAACTGAGCCATCCAGGCAGCCCCCCAGACTGTAATTTCTTTTTCTTTTTTTTTAAAGGATTTTATTCATTCATTTGAGACACAGAGATACAGAGAGAGAGAAGAGAAAGCATGAGCAGGGAGAGAGGCAGAGGGAGAGGGAGAAGCAGGCTCCCCGCTGAGCCAGGAGCCCGATGCGGGGCTCAGTCCCAGGACCCTGGGATCATGACCTGAGCCGAAGGCAGATGCTTAACCATCTGAGCCACCCAGGCGCCCCCAGACTGTAATTTCTTAATAAGTGTAATTAGAAAACCTGACACTAGGTCATGAGCTTATTTTATTTATATTTTTATTTGTATATTTGGCCTAAGCATATTTATATCTGGTTATGAGTCATTTCCTCACTTAAATGTTTTTATTTCATAAAAGAAGTTTTTCCAAGGGAAAAGGAGATAAAAATGTTTAGAGATCATTTTTTGTCCAAGTAAATTGTACATATTACAAATCTGTGAAATTACTTTTAGATCTTTCTTGCTAATTTACTAGTTTATCTGGGATAAAATGCTATTAACTAAATTCTAGTTTTAGTGTGCTTTTTGAGGCCATCTGAAACATAAAGACTTTGATTTTAAGTGATTTTTTTTAAGTTAAGACAGGTGTTCTTAACAAACAGGTGTTCTGAAGTATTATTTAGATTTTTAGTTTTTCTTGATCCTTTGAAATACCAAGCTGAATTTTACATGGGTCATGTTTCACTGGCTGGAAGTATAATGCTTTTTTTTTTCCTTGAAGAAGAATTATAAATATTTATGTAATTTTAGTTGCTGGTTACTGTAGTGCCTTTCTTTTGCTAGATAGGCTCAAGCAGCTGTGGGTATTGGAGAGGCTTTCAGCACCTTATAAAATTGGCCAGATCTGAAAGGAAGCATTCAGCAGGCAAGTGAGATTTCTAATAGAGCAGAGTTATGAGTTACGGGAGTCTTCTTTAGGTTAATGATACTAAGTCTCCTCAGATTAGCATAATTTAAAAAATAATGTTAAATATGAAGATTAAGAAAAGATTTGGAAGCCATTTTGTGTGTGTAGGGGGGAGTTGGTATTATCTACAGACTATTTTAAGTTACAGATTTGTTTCCGGGCGCCTGGGTGGCTCAGTCGGTTGAGCGACTGCCTTCGGCTCAGGTCATGATCCTGGAGTCCCGGGATCGAGTCCCACATCGGGCTCCCTGCTCGGCGGGGAGTCTGCTTCTCCCTCTGACCCTCCTCCCTCTCGTGCTATCTCTCATTCTCTCTCTCTCAAATAAATAAATAAAATCTTTAAAAAAAAAAAGTTACGGATTTGTTTCCTGTGCTTGTTCACTGTGAACTCATCTCAAATGGTTTTAACGTCTTTTTTAACAAGGATATTGTCAACAATTTTATAAAAATATGTATATTTTTATTTATTTTTTATTTTATTTTTTTTAAAGATTTTATTTATTTATTCATGAGAGACAGAGAGAGAGAGAGAGAGAGGCAGAGGGAGAAGCAGGCTCCCAAGGAGCAGGGAACCCGATGAGGGACTCGATCCCAGGAATCTGGGATCATGACCTGAGCCGAAGGCAGACGCTTAACCATCTGAGCCACCCAGGCGCCCAAAAAATATGTATATTTTTAACTGAAGTATAATTAACATACAGTGTTACTAGTTTCAGGCATACAGTGTCATGACTGAACCATTCTGTACGTGACTCTGTGCTCGTCACAGTAAGTGCACTCTTCATCCCCTTTGTTTCACCCATCCCCCCACCCACCTTCCTGACGGCAACCACCAGTTCTCTTTATTTAAGAGCCTGGTTTTTTTTTTAAATTTTTGTTTCTGTCTTTTTTAGAGACAGTATGACCGGGCAGTGGGGCTGGGGCGGCAGAGGGAGAGGGAGAGAGACTCTCGAGCAGGCCCCACGCCCAGCTTGGAGCCTGACACAGCGCTCATTCTCACGGCCCTGAGATCATGACTCGGGCTGAAATTGAGAGTCTGATGCGTAATTGACTGAGCCACCCAGGTGCCCCGAGAGTCAGTTTTTGTTGTTGTCTCTTTTCTCTCTTCGTTTGTTTTGTTTCTTAAATTCCACAAATGAGTGAAATCATACGATATTTGTCTTTCTTTGACTTATTTCACTTAGCATCATGCTCTCTAGATCTATCCATGTTTTTGCAAATGGCAAGATCTCATTATTTTTTATGGCTGAGTAATACTCCATTGCATGTATACACCGTATGTTCTTTATCCATTAATCAATTAATGGATACTTGGATTGCATCCATATCTTGGCTTTGGGAAATATTGCTGCAAGTTTTAACATTTTCGATATTTGTAGCCCCTGTCCTTGCACATATTGAGTTACTGAATCTCCGTTTATATATTTTTGGTGCTGTATTTCTAAATCCTATTAATTTAAAATACGTGGCTCTCAGTATTCAGTATAAAAGATTCATATTTATAATATGAAAAATACTTTTTAGCACTCATAAATTTCAGTGGTTAATAGAGAAATCTATGTATAACTTAGCAAGTTTGGGTATAGTTGAGAAAAAATGTGGAAATACATTGTTCATGATAACTTCTTAAGGAACAAATTTAGTTGGTTTCATTAAAAACAAAACAACAAAAATCACTGTGCATGTGCGCTGCTGTTGATGTTTTACTTGGTGGTTTTAACTCCCCTCAGTGTCCCCCTCCTATTGTATCTGCAGAAGAGACCTAAATTTTAAACACCGTCCTTTGCCACAATGGTTGTGCACACTCTGACTCCTTTCCTTTTTCCTCCACTGCAGGCCCGACCGTCATGCTTTCCCAGCCTGCCGTTGTACAACTTCAGGCTCCTGGAGCTCTGCCCCCTTCTGCCCCAGTCCTTGCTGTCGCAGGGGGAGCCACACAACTACCTAATCACATGGTGAATGTGGTCCCGGCCCCTGTGGCAAACAGCCCGGTGAATGGAAAACTTTCAGTGACTAAACCTGTCCTACAAAGTACCATGAGAAGCGTGGGCTCGGATGTAAGTGTTGAAACTTCGTGCTTTTTATCATACCTGATTTAAAAAAACAACCAAGCCAAAGCACACCATTTTGTTTTTGTTGCCTTGTTTTTGCTTTTTAAAGTTTGTTATATTGCCTTGGCAAATTATTATGTTAGAATCGAAGTGAAAAGGTTTTAAAAAGTCTGAAGTTGTTTGATGAAAAGGGATGTATGCATACTTTCCTCTGTAACTCCTTCTTTCAAACCCTCTCCTCACATTCTTCAAGGCCCTCCCTCAACCCAGTCAGACAGTAGTATTTTCCAAGACTCTTTCATGTCTCCTGATTGAAATGTTTTTGGCAATTCCCAGATAAGAGTCTGTAGACTATTTTTTGGTCAGGGTTTATATTTACCTTCTCTCTTATTGACGGGTTTTCACCACTGCATAATGATGACTTGCTACTGTTAGGAGTTCTGTCTCTTAATGATTAGTTGGTATTTTCCCATCTTTGCAAATCCTCAGATTTTTCTAGCATGTCTTAGGGTTTTTTTGTTTTGTTTTGTTTTTAATAATTTATAAATCACAAAAAGTTTCCTAAGACCTGTCTTCCTTAAAGCCAATTATAGCATTTGCCAGCTAATTTTTGCTTTCTTTAAAAGTGATACAGAAATATCTCATGTTATGTATTAAGTAGTGATGGAATATTATGGGCCTAAAGTTTAGTGAAATTAAAGTCAAATAATCATTTTGACAGTAGATTCTCTTAAACTGTTACTGGGAAGCAAACCCGTGTGTGTTTTCTTTAAAATAAAAGTAGATATTATGGGTGGTTAATCTTGCTACTCTACCTATTCTTTAGGTACTGCAAAATACTTTCAAAATTTTGTGAGTTATTAAGGTTATTGCAGTATTATCTGATGTACCATAATTTATTAACTAGCATGTTAGTAGCCCAGTAGTGAAATTGTTCCACTGTTGAATAAACACAACTAAGTAATTTCAGTCAGCAATATTTTAAAGACCCATAACAAAGGAATATTATCTGATGAAAGTAGAACTTTGAAGATCTACAGTAATTCTCATAGTTTATATAGGTTTTGAAAACAGTGTTTACCCAGACATAGAAGAAAATTAGAGCCGAACGAGAATAGACATGGATAGTACAGGATTACCCTTGACTGTTAATGTTCATTTATTTTGAGGACTAGAGAAGGTTAAGCATAGCGCTTATGGCATAATAGGCACTGATACACAGTATGTGCTTCAGTTGAGGATGAAATGATACGATGCTGGAATTTGCTTAAAATACTCTGGGGCAGGGGGCGAGGAGCACAGGATGGAGGAAACAAGATCGACAAAGTGTTGATAATCATCAAAATTGTTGGTAATCTTTCTCTCCTTTTGGTGTGTGGGAAAATTTCCACAATAAGTAAGTAACAACAAAAGTGCAAAAATATCCTGTGCTATTTTCAATTAAAAAGTTATACAGCCAGTAAAAGAAAGGGTATGTGTTTCATAGGAGACTCAGACAGCTGAGAATGATGAGAGTATTTTTAAAATGATCCTTTAAAATTTCCTTTTAATTCTCCTTAAATTATGAATTGGAATGTTTCTTCTGTGATACTCCCAAACAGAACTAGCAATAGAAAATATTCAGAGTCGTCTTTTTTATGGGGTAGGGGCAGAGAGAGAGGGAGAGAGAGACTATCAAGCAGACTCCCCACCAAGCACAGAGCCCGATGCGGGGCTCAGTCCCACCATCCTGAGATCATGACCCAAGCCGAAATCAAGAGTCGGATGCTCGACTGAGCCACCCAGGTGCCCCTCAGAGTTGTCTTTATATCATGTTAGGACTTTTAAAATATTTATTATGAAATATCTTAGACATGAAAAAAGGTAAAGACTAATTAGAACTTAAAAAAATACAGATCAACAGTATGTCACAGTTGTTAAATTATTCGCATAGTGTTAGTCTGTATTCTTGACCTTCTAATATCCTATCGTGGGACAGTCCAGAGGCGTGTGGCAAGGATAGGGAAGATGTCTTGAAACTATGTCCTAGGTAGAGGAATGGTTTAAGGGTTGGAATGACTATAAACTGAAGAGAACACTGAACATAGGTCTGGGAGCTGATTCCAGGACACAAAGGTTGATGTGTGGAAAACAGAATGATTGTTCTGGGTTATTCCAGAGGACTCAGCTAGAATAGGTGCAGGTGGGGCGCCTGGGTGGCTCAGTCGGTTAGGTGTCTGCCTTCGGCTCAGGTCATGATCCCAGGGTCCTGGGATCGAGCCCCACATCGGGCTCCCTGCTCAGCGGGGAGCCTGCTTCTCCCTCTGCCTCTGCCTGCCTGCCTGCCTACTTGTGCTCTCTCTCTCTCTCTCTCTCTCTGTCAAATAAATAAATAAAATCTTAAAAAAAAAAAATAGGTGCAGGTACATTATAGAAAGGTTTCTTCTCGTCCTAAAGTTCTTTAAAAACAGGAGGAAGGGGACGCCTGGGTGGCTCAGTTGGTTAAGCGTCTGCCTTCAGCTCAGGTCATGATCCCACCCTGGGATCGAGTCCCGCATCAGGCTCCTTGCTCAGCGGGGAGCCTGCTTTTCCCTCTGCTTCCCACTCCCCCTGCTTGTGCTCTCTCTCTCTCTCTCTCTCTGACAAATAAATAAAATCTTAAAAAACAAACAAACAAAAACCAAAAAGCAGGAGGAAGCCTTTTTTTCTTTTTTCTTCTAGGCTAATATCTGAATAATGAGCATCTTAATGTTGGCACTCATCATTGTATTCTGCTGACCCATTTTGTAATCTCTAAACATTTCAATTAATTATTTTTTGACCAGTTAGTCAGACATTCACTATAACTTCTTTGGTGTGAAAGACCATGTTTGTTCTGCTCTTGCATCCTTAAGAGTGCTCTGTAAATTTGGTGAATAATTTACTGATGAAGTCCCATCAGTAAATTATTCTTTTTTTTTTTTTTTTAAACAGATTTGAGACAATCTCTGAGGTGGGAGGGATTTTATTTTATTTTTTTATTTATTTTTTTTAAACAATCTTTTTCTTTTTTTTAATTTTTTTTTTAAGATTTTATTTATTTATTTGAGAGAGAGAGAATGAGAGACAGAGAGCACGAGAGGGAAGAGGGTCAGAGGGAGAAGCAGACTCCCTGCTGAGCGAGGAGCCCGATGTGGGACTCGATCCTGGGACTCCAGGATCTGAACTGGGAGATATGTGAGATGCAAAAGTATAGGACCAAGAGGTATTTTTTTTCTTTCAGCAATGTTTATTGGCTAGCGTTGTTACCGCTTTCCAGAATTTAGAGTTGACAGTATTATAGGAGAAAGATTTCACGTACTGTGTCTAGTGCAAGAGACCTAAAGGTGATTAGAATAAATTTTCTAGTCAAACTGCATTGAGGTTTTGTGCTTATTTTTCCTTGGCCAGCACATCAGGAAGTGAGCCAGGCCTTTTCAGTATGAGTTTTCTGGTAGAAATTTTGACTTAATGTTTATTTCAAGTAAAGAAACATCAGTCTGTCCTATCAGCTGGCCAAGACGCTCAGGAACCCAAAGTAAATTTGTTCCAGAAGGAGCTGCAGGAAACTTTGATCTGCTGGTATAGTCTCCTGCGTTAGTAACTTGGTTGACCTTAATAGTGCATGTGTTTGTTAGACTCAAGTCCTTTTAAATTATGATAAATTTGAAGTAGTATAAATTTCTGATTCAAAATGGCCAAAAAGAGAGATTTTTCATTATGTGCTTTTTGTGCTTTTAAACCAAAAGCCTGTAATTCAGCGGAAGAAAGCGTATCAGTCTTTTGTGGCTTTATAATGCTGACATGGCTTCTTTTTTCCTACCTTTTTTGTTCTTTTAGAGTTTGGCTAGTTTCACCCTCTAGAGGCCTGCTACTGCCCTAAGTAGCGTTTTTTGCATACCATATTCTGCAAACTGCATTAAGTGCCACATTTTCTGTTCTGAAGCAGTTCGCCTGGTTCACATTATAATCTCACTCTTCCTGCCTTTTGCTGGTAAATCTTTTCTGTTTAACTCTTGGAAACCTCACCTAAGTTTTCAAGAAATATGGTTGGTTTTTGGCTCTGATCGTGATGGAAAAAATGAACATGGTCTCTCATTTCAGTGTAGAAATTCTCTTATGCAGTTTCTTAGTAAAAGGCAATGTTGGAACTGCAAAGTTGCCTTCATAGGAGAGGGTGCTGATCTTTCTTTAAAGGCCTATTGAATGTTGCCAGACATCAAACCAAGGACTTGAAAGCTGTAACTACTCCTCCGTACCCATTGTAATTCCATAAAGTTCGTGAAACATTATGGCCCCAGTTTCAGGGCTGTGGAGTTAATATTGTTGTGGTTATTTTGTTTGGGATAAAAGACCAGGAAAAAAAAAGTGGTGAAATTATATTCTGCGTCCTCCGCAGTGGACCAAGGTGGAGCAAAAACCCTTCATGGAAGTCAGTACGTGGTGACAATGGAAAGAAAATGATCAGGAGCTAGGTCAGAATTAGAAATATCAAATGGGAGGCTGATCAAGGGTACAGGCTCTGCTGACAGGAGGCCTCGGGCCTTCCTCTCAGCCCATTCACCCCATTAAGCATCTTATAAACCCTTTATTCTTGCACTCTTTTTCATTCTTGACTTGGAGACCTTGATTCCTCCCAACCTGGTCCCTAGCCTTTGGGAGTCTGTCCTGGTCACTAAAGCCATCATGAGAAGCTGGGTGCCAGGGGATATCCCTTTCCATCTGCCTGCAGGTATTAGAAATAGTGTGAAGGGGATTCCTCTGGCATACCGAACTGCAACTTTGTTACTTCTCTTCTCTGGAGACAGCCTTATACAATTAGGTTCAAGATTTCAGGTATTGTTAGTACTGTGAGCATGGAGTGATGGGATCTGAGCCCAAACGGGGCCAGTGCACACAGTCTTCTTTTATGGCAGTGCAGGAAGGCTGAACTTTGGGAGTCTAGCACTTTTACAGCAAGCAGTGAGCAAGTTTCCTCATTGTCCAGAGGAAGACATTACCTCATCTCT